AGGTTGCAGTGAGCTGAGACTGCGCCATTGCACTCCAGCCTGGGTAACAAGAGCAAAATTTCATCTCCAAAAAAAAGGGTGGGTGGGGGGTGGGGGGAGAGTGAAGAGTGAGAAAAACAAAAAGATAACCATGAGAAGAAGGGTAATTTTTTTAAAAGGATTAACAGAAGGGGTTAAAATTGAGGCTTTTGGGGAGCAGCTGGTAGACAGAAAAAGAACTTGGCTAATAAATAATTTGGATGAAAATTAGTAAAGAGATTGGAAAGAATATGGTGTCAGAACAATAATGAACCATTTTTTATATAAGCTAGTTCCTGGAATGGATTGCCTCTCATTTGTATTATATCAAAAGCTGTTTGGTAATTGAAGGGCAGCTGGTGAAGGTTGGTGAAAGATCAAACAGAGGGACTAAAGCAAAGGACTCAAGGAGAAAATTCTCTGAGTCTGAAAAAATATACAGTTGGATTTTTATGCTGAAATGCCCCCAAAACAAACGATTCTGAGAAATGAAACCACTAAAAGAAATGAGTTGAGAAAATGGACATAATGGAGTATTTTATTCTGAAAAGAATAAAAAGAAGAAAAATCAAGTGGAGCTCAGAGAGAGAAGAAAGACAATCCGCAGGGTGGACCTGAGCAAAGGGCTTTTGTCTGAGGTTTATGCAGTGCTCGTGGCTTCAGTGAGCTGATTCCTGGTATACTTTGCACTACATTTGGCCAGAACAATGATTGCTGCCTGTTTTTTTTTAACTCACAAAAATCAAAGTATTGTGTAGCTTTTTCCACCTGCCTGAGATTCCAGGTTATGAAAATAAAAGGATGAATCAGAAGTAAGAATATAGCTTTGATGAAAAAGCCTCCATCACACGATGACATGATCGGTTTCACAAGACCCATGGTGTTTGTCTGACGGAGACATGACTATTTTGGGGCTTTACGTAGCAGAATTCTTGTCACAAGAATATTCATAGGTATTTGCGATATGGGTCCACATTGAGCATCTGAAGTTCAGTTCTGGGTGCAGTCTGGTTTTTGTATGTGTCCTTGTAGTAGCAGTTTGTTTCCTAAGGAAGAATTACTTGGGGATTTTTTGAAAAAAAGATTAAGTAGCAGTAGTAGCTAACACTTAGATGCTTACTATGTGCCAGGCACTGTTTGAAGCTCTTACATGCTGTTTCAGCAGCCCCAGTAGGCAGGTACTATATGATTCCATTTTGCAGATGAGGAAACTGAGGCTGAGGGAGGTTAAATAACTTGCCCAACATCACAGAGCCAGAGAGGAGCAGAACATGGATTCTATGTGCCAAACCCCTTGCACCCACCCCATACTTGGCAATTGTTCATATTTATCCAACTTGCTTCAAGTTCTTTTATATACAAGAGATAAAACATCTCATAGAAAGTGGCTGTGCCTGTTATATTCCCGGCCCCTGTTTCATCCCCTGTCCCATCTCCAGTTTCTTTTTCAAATATTTACATTCCTGTCATATTTATGGACAATAGTGCTATTTTTTCATGTTTCAACATTTGCACAAGTGGTAACATACTCTATCCATTGTGCAACTTCCTTTTTCCTCCATTTCCATCATTATAAGGTGAGCGCCGTCTATGTTGATATGAATCCATATCTCAGCACCATGCAGCTCTGTACTTGCCTGCCACACTTGGCTATTGAGCAGTTGAAATGTGACTAGTTGGAATTGAGATGTATCTTAAGTGTAAAACACCCGATTTCAAAGACAGTAGGAAAAACAGTAAAATTGCCTGTTAATAATTTTAATATTGATTGTTGAAATTATAATATTTTGGATGTATTGGGTTAAATAAAATATATTATCAAAATTAGCTTCACCTACATTTTCTTTTTTTTTTTGATGGAGTCTCACTCTGTCACCCAGGCTGGAATGCAGTGGCTTGATCTCGGCTCACTGCTCACTGCAGGGAACCTCCACCTTCCCGGTTCAAGCAATTCTCCTGTCTCAGCCTCCCAAGTAGCTGGAACTACAGGTGTGCACCACCACACCTGACTAATTTTTGTATTTTTAGCGGAGACGGGGTTTCACTATGTTGGCCAGGCTAACCTCAAGTGATTAGCCTGCCTTGGCATCCCAAAGTGCTGAGATTATAGACGTAAGGCACCTCACCTGATCCGTTTTCTTATTTTTTAATGTGGCTGCTAGAAAACTGAACACAGCATGTGCGGCTTGCATGTTTGGCTTACGTTTTTATCAAAGGGAATTGATGTCGATCATTCCTCTTAGCTGCCGTCTGTCTGGGTTTTGCTAATTGGCAAAGGAAGAAGCCCTAAATCTGAATAGTAAGAAGAATTACTATTTGCTGTGCACAGATACTTACTCTAAGCGCTTTACAAGAAAGACCCATTCAGTCCTGCGAGGTTGCGCGGCTGCAAGAAGTGAAGTTAAACAATTGTCCAGTCGTGAAACTCCAAGGAGGCTGAGTTGAAGCTGAAGTCAGACTACTGGGTAACCACTAACCGGACAAGCCCCTGTGAGAAACGGCATAAATCCACCTGAGAAAGCAATGACCTCAGCGTTTACCTTGTGGCGAGGGGAATGTCTCCTTCACCACAATACATTCTCCTTGCATATCAGTGGAGCATCTGTCTTTCCTGACTTTTCATAGATCAGGTTATAAACAGACACACATTTGTTGTGGCAGGTACAGCTTTAATGAAACCAGCACAGGCAGTATTTTTCTGACATCCACTTGCAACATTATGAAGTCAGCTTTACTCTTTGCCACTAATTATATTAACTATTTTTAGGGCAAACTGTCAATGCACCATACTGGTTCATGCCTCCTAGGTTTTCAATTTGTTTTCTTTAGCCATATCTATTTATACCTCGAGTGCTTTTCCTTCAAGAGGTGTCCTCATTTTTCTGACAATGATACAGTTGTGGCTCATAATTAACTTATAAAAGATGTGGGAGGGCAAAGATGACGTGCAATTGCCATGGGGGTATTATTTATGAATATTGGATTGCTTTTTGAATTCTGAATTCAAACCCACTTTAACATTTTGAATCATAAAGTTACAGGACTGGTAGGGACCCAAGGTCTCTTTAGTGTCGGTTTAGACTGTAGGCTTGGAGTCAGCAAGCTGCATGGACTCTTAGGCTGGTATCTTAACCATTTAAGTCTTGGTTTCCTCATCTGTAAAGTGAGAATCCTGACATCCATCTTCTAGACCTCTTTTTGTGGATTAAGTGAGACAGTGGCTGTAACTCTGTTCCTTGTATCTACTTTTATTCCATGGTAGTTGTGATAATTACTATTATTATTACTTGCTATATCATCTTTCTCCAGATGACTGCAAAGGCATAGTCTCTTCAAGCACATCTGGCCCTATTCTAACAGGCCTTTTTCTCCTCCATGCTCTACCAGAACTCCTGAACTTTCCCTTAGTTGGAGAGGTCCATGGTTAGAAGGAAGAAAACCCTGCAACCCACTCCTTTCCTTTGCTTTCTCTCTGGGGCACCGTGGGCAGCTCTTGCTGCAGAGAGCTGTGCTGAGGCTCTTTACTACAGAACCTATACAGTGCTTGCCCCCAACAGTGCTTCCTTCTATGTCCCACTCCCCACAGATTTGCCTTCATACAGGCTTCCCAATATGCCTGGATATGTCAGCACTGATCCTTTCCCTGGCCACCTTGCCCTTATGCTGCATGGATGTGGACCTCTTTGCCTCTCTGTACTGCCCACGATGGTGGACTACAGCAGAATGGGCTCACCAGTTGACAGCTTTCTCCACTCATGTCTTCTATTCACTAAGCTTGGTGGGTGTCCCCATTGCCCAGAAAATTATTACATAGCCCTCATATCAAATTTGTTTTGAGAAGCATTACCACAAACCTGTCTCTGGCCTATGATCCCAGGGAGTCCTCCCTCATGCCAACAAGACCTCTTGGGATCAGCCACATATGTGAAGTTAGAATGCGGTTTAGGCTCTGCCATAACTCTGAACTAAACATGATTTTAGGGGTGAGGAAACTGGGACCTAGGGGCTTGGGGAAGTGGCCCGAGGGTATGGAGAGTAACTGACCTGTCTTTCTTCCAGGATATAATATTCATTCCTGGCACCAATCCCCTCTACCTTGTATTGAAAGCAAGGACAGCCTCCCTGCAACCACACGTACAAGTGGCCACTCAGCAGGTGCATACTAAACGTGTGTTGAGTTGTATTATTAGAATCTCAGTGGCTATGCAGCATTGGAGGGACAGCAATCCCTTTGCCTCTGTGTCCCTAAAGCTAAGCAGGAGGTCTCCACGTCTTGCACTGTGAGCCAGGCGGGGTTTGGAGCCACTGGCCCTGAAGGTCCCTACTCTCTGGATTCCCAGTGCCTGCGGAGCCCAGGCCTCAACCAGCAGGTAAGTGCAGTCCATACCTCCCGCGGGTCCAGCTGGTTCTTCTCCAGACTTGGGTGTACTAGGCCAGGCTGTGCCTTACTAATCTCAAGGCTTCCTGTGTTTGTGTGAATAGGAATAAGAAGATTGTTATTTCTGGCCGGGAGCGGTGGCTCACGACTGTAATCCTAGCACTTTGGGAGGCCAAAGTGGGAGGATCACCTGAGGATGGGAGTTCGAGACCAGCCTGACCAACATGGAGAAACCCCGTCTCTACTAAAAATACAAAATTAGCCAAGCATGGTGGTGCATGCCTGTAATCCCAGCTACTCAGGAGGCTGAGGCAGGAGAATCTCTTTCACCAGGGAAGCGGTGGTTACGGTGAGCTGAGATCGTACCATTGCACTCCAGCCTGGGCAACAAGAGCGAAACTCCGTCTCAAAAAAAAAAAAAAAGAAGATTGTTATTTCTTAAATAAATCCCCTATTTCTCACTATTTATTCATTTAGCAATCTTGACTCACAACCCAAATCCAGGCACCCCCCCTGGACCCACCGCGGCCCATTGCCTAGCAACAGCCTTCCCGCCCCGCCTCCGCGCCTTTGCCCACCGGGTGCTTAGTGCGCACGCTCTAACCCCGCCCTGTAGGACGCACTGTGGTGACGTGTACAGTCCGCGACGCTTTCGGTGATCCGACCTCTGGGTTGGGCTAACCTAACCCCGGCGTTATGGCCTCCGCCGGGGTGGCAGCCGGGCGACAGGCGGAGGATGCATTGCCGCCAACGTCCGACCAGCCGCTGCCCGACAGCAAGCCGCTGCCGCCTCCTCAGCCGCCGCCGCCGGTCGCTGCCCCTCAACCGCAGCAGTCGCCGGCGCCGCGGCCTCAGTCACCGGCCCGCGCGAGGGAGGAAGAGAACTACTCCTTTTTACCTTTGGTTCACAACATCATCAAATGGTAAGAACCTAGGAGAGGACCAGACCTCATACTCCCTCCAGCTTCTCGTCTCACCCTTTTCAGAGCTGCAGGAGGCCTTGGCGCTCTGGGGCACGCCCCCGTTTCAGAGTTAGGAAAACTCAGGCTCAGAGCGGGAAGAGGCCTTTCCCAATACCACAGAGCCATTCCATGAGTTAAGCAAACGATTTGGGCCCTGAGAGGTGCGATATCTTTAAGAATAAGGCCAGCTTAGAGACCAAATGCAGACGTTTGTCCAGAGGCTCAAGTGTACATCCAGCTATCTTGAGCAAATTAAATCTCTCTAAGGCTCAGTTTTCTCACCTTTAATGTTAGTAATACTTTAGTTCCTTATTTCAACAGACTCAGCAGATAAGCATCATCTTCCCTGTGTTAGATACTGCCAGGTGCTATGGGATGGACACAGTAAAAGGGGCCAACATTTCATCCCCAAAGGTTTCACCAGATAGAAGGAAAAAAAGACATGATTGGGAATAACCCATAATTCAAAAAGATTGAGAGGGGAGCAGTGGTGATGGGAGACATTAGACTAAACAAAGACACAGAAGTTGCCTCAGATGATTAGACCTACCTGTACTGACTTTGTTCTAACTGTTCTAACAGTGCGAAAGGAAATTACTGTCATCCTTTTGGCCAGCATCCAGGGTAGCCTGAGTTTTCCAAGTGACTCTGTAAAGAAAAAGCCAAAAACAAGAAAGCCAGAGTCTCACTGATCCCCATGTTTGCCTAAATTTTTATTATTTTTGAGACAGGGTCTTGCTCTGTCAGCCAGACTGGAGTACAGTGGCGTGATCTGGGCTCACTGCAGCCTCAACCTCCTGGCCTCAAGCCATCCTCTCACCTTAGGCTCCCAAGTAGCCAGAACCATAGGCATGAGCCACCGCACCCAGCGAATTTTTGTAGAGATGGGGTTTCACCACGTTGCCTGGGCTGTAAATTATTTTCATTATGTTACTGCACTGTGTGTATCCACGTGATACTAGTTGTAAACCCCTAGGCTTGTAACTCTTATTCAACCATTAAAGACCAAAACAAAGTAAATTAAAGGAAAATTACAATTCCAGTAACATTCAGGTGAACATTAATGTGCTCTTCACTGTTTTACTGAAATGGAATTGTTTCTTACGTGAAGGTCTCGACTGTTAGTGGCCCAGCCTCTTTTGAGTTTAAGCAAACTAGATTCAGTTGCTGTGGGATGACCTGATGCTGTTCTGCCCCTTTTCAAATAACTACAAAGGCTTTATTCTCCCATTAGACCCTGGCTTCACTTGGTGTGAAAATACTCTTTATAGGGTAAGGCAGCCTGTTCAGTTTTTGTGAGCCTGTGATAATGATCACAGACAGAAATACATATGCAGCCCCTGTAATCCCAGGTCAGTGCTGGATTATAAAGGGTTTATTCAGATTAACCCCAATTGACTGGTTTTACAAAAAATGTGGAAAAAGGAAAACATAAAATGTACACATTCACAAAGGCAGCTCTTGAATCCCTGAGAGATTCTTGAGCCCTGGTAGAGCAACTGGGTTGGGTGGCCTTAAAGATGTAGTAGTAAGTTTCACTAGAGAGAACAGGCTTTGAAGTTAGACGGTTCTGGGTTCAAACCTGTGTACTGACACTTTCTTGCCTTCTAATCTTGATATAAATGCCTAACCTTTCTAGGCCATAATCTTCTTATCTCTAATATGTCTATAGTGGACCTCATAAGATAGGTCAAATTATGTAATAGCTCTATAATGTGCTGACTGGGTGACCTTGGCAAGTAGCTTAGCTTCTCTGAGCTATGAAATGGGAATACTTATGTCATAGGATTGTTGGGAGGATGTACTGAAGAGCATACCTGTGAAACATAGTGGGTTGATCACATGTGCTTGCCTCTGTTCCATCTAAAAGGACAGAGAAGGGACTTCAAACAAACAAAAAGCATAGAACCTCTGGATGCAGTGGCTCATGCCTGTAATCCCAACACTTTAGGAGGCTGAGGTCAGCCTATTGCTTGAGCCTGGGAGCTCAAGACCAGCCTGGGAAACATAGCAAAACTTTCACTCAACAAAAAATACAAAAAAAAAATAGCCAGGCATGGTGGTGTGTGCCTGCAGCCCTGGCTACGTGGGACGCTGAAGTGGGAGGATCACTTGAGCCCAGATTACACCACTGCACTCTAGCATGGGCGACAGAGTGAGACCTTGTCTCAAAAATACAAAAGCATGAAACCAGAAGGAACAGGACAGGAGATTGCCACAAAGTGGATGGCTAGAGCAGATTCATCTGCCAACTCCTAAGCAGCTGGCTTGTTAAACATGACCTACCCCCATATATCAGGAACTCTAGTGCAAGGACCCTCTGGAACAGGGAGGGTGAAGGTGGGTCTAAGAACAGGAAGGTTACTTAGAAGTCTGTTTAAGAAGCAGGTCCCCACAGTCCTACTCCCAAGCAGCTGGGTGACTACCTTTCTTCCAACTTGGCAGATCGTTAAAAGGTTACTTTCCCAATTAGGAAGGAATATCTGGACTGGGGGACACCAGGCACACTGCAGGGGCAGGTGGGGGAGCCATACTGAAAAGAAGGATTAAGAGGAAGTTTGCAGACTAAGGAGTGAGACCCCACTCGAGCCTTCCCCCCCTGGTTTCTAGATTGGCAGCCAAAGAGTAGAAGTGCCCTCTCTATGATGTGTGACCAATTAAGAGAAAATACATTGAAAAAAAACCTAATCAATTAATTTTGAGAAAATGAACAAGCATCACTCATTTGCAGAGCTTCCACTAAGCCTTTTAGTGTTTTATTCTTTTTTTTTTTTTCTTGAGATGGAGTTTCGCTCTTGTTACCCAGGCTGGAGTGCAATGGTGGCGATCTTGGCTCACCACAACCTCTGCCTCCTGGGTTCAAGCAATTCTCCTGCCTCAGCCTCCTGAGTAGCTGGAACTACAGGCATGCGCCACCATGCCCAGCTAATTTTTTTGTATTTTTAGTAGAGACGGGGTTTCACCATGTTGACCAGGATGGTCTCAATCTCTTGACCTCATGATCCACCCGCCTCAGCCTCCCAAAGTGCTGGGATAGTGTTTTATTCTTAAATATATGAGTGGATGGCCAAGGCCATTAAGCATGGGAAGAGAACCCCTGGTAAGAAAGACACAGGTCAGGCACGGTGGCTTATGTCTGTCTGTAAGCCCAACACTTTGGGAGGCTGAGGTGGGAGCTCAGGGAGCTGAGGTTACAATGAGCCATGACCACACTGCTCCACTCCAGCCTGGATGACATAGACCCTGTCTCTTAAAGAGAAAGAAAGAAAGACGACAAGACAGAAGAGCAGAAAAAGCCACTTGATGGAAAGCAGCAGGCACAAAGGAGTGGATGGTGCTGCAGCTGTAAACATGAGAAGAGGCTGGATCCAACCCAGAAACCTTCAGTGTAGCTGTGTCCTTGAGCTTATAGGCTAATGAGGGAGGAATATGGGCAGAGGAGACCTCATGAAGCCTGGAGGAGTCAGAAGGCTTGGTAAGAGTGACGCCAACAGGCCCAGCACAGTGGCTTGCGCCTGTAATCCCAGCACTTTGGGAGGCTGAGGTGGGTAGATCACTTGAGGCCAGGAGTTGGAGACCAGCCTGACCAACATAGGGAAACCCCATATTAAAAATACAAAAATTAGCTGGGTGTGGTGGTATGTGCCTGTAATCCCAGCTGCTCGAGAGGCTTGAAACCAGGATGGTGCCACTGCGCTCCAGCCTGGGTGACAGAGCAAGACTCTGAAAAAAAAAAAAGAGTGTTGCCAACAATGAGTCTTCAATTAGGAAAGGGAGGCAGGAGGAAGGGTGGTATAGGAAAAACGTATAAGGACACGAAGCCAAGAAATAGCATCTACTCATGGGAGTCAGCTTCTAGTTTGGTGGTGCTGTGCATATATCCAGGGCAGGAAGAGGGAGCTGGGGAGGAGAGAAGAGCTGGGAAACAGAGGGCAGCAGTCTTCTAAGGCATGGGGAGCTAGTGAAACTGACAGGCTGGAAACCAGTCAAAACAGTCCTGGCAGGCAGAGATGAGGGCTGGGACCATGTCCAGTCACCCAGGGTGCTGCTCTCTGAGCCTGGGTCCCTTCCTTTCCTATAACCTCCTCTATGATCCTTTATTATTTGTTTACTTCTTGCACAGGGGATGAGTAAGGAGCTAAAACCTGAAGTAGTAAATTTAGCCTTTCTTGTTCTCATAAAGAATTCAGTTTTTGAAAAATTATTTAATAAAAGTAACAACTACAAGTTTAGAAGTACAGAAAACTGTAAGATGGAAGAAGGGTTCCTTCCCCCAGTCCCCTCACCTACAGTAACTGGGTATCTTTTCAAAATGTATACAGATTGAGATGATGTTTTACTTGACTTTCTTTACTGATTAGTCTGTTTTGGCCACCTTTCCATGCTGCACATAAAGATCTACCTCATTAAGGCGGCTGCAGAAAATGGCATCTTGTGGCTGCCCCATAATTTATGCAAATGGTTTTCCATTTATGGATTTCTAGGTGTTTTTCTAATTTTTGCTATTCCCAGCAGTGCTAGGGTTGACATCTTTGTATATGAATAAGTTTATGGTCCGATAAATCCCAGCAGTGGGACTGCTGGAGCATAGGGTGAGAACATTTCTCATTGTGATAGTTATGCTAAATTTAGAGCTCTACATCCTTTTAGCGAACTCTTTCCAAAATTCAGTCCTTGTAGACTGGACTGCTTCAGTTAACCTAAAATGGCCTATAAATCTGCCACCCAGAAAGCATTAAACAAAAATTAAAGTTTTAGATGGATTCTGCGAGTACCCATGGATATGAAATGGAAAGAGGGCCTCTCCCTTCCCTCCTCCCAGCTCCCTTGCAAAACTGCATAATATTCCGCTTAATGAATGTGCTGTCGTTGATGTAAACAGTTCCTTGCTCAAGGATACTGTCATTGTTTCTGCATTTTGCTGTTGTAATCAGCACTGCAGCAAGCATCTTTGCTCTTGC